GACGTGCATATGTCGCTGTGCTAAGATGTCTTTATCTCTCTTGGGATGATATCTAGAAGGGCCAAATGGAATTTCTACTTTCAGTTTTTTGAGGAATCTTCATAATGATTTCCACAGTGGCTATCTCAGTGCACAGTCCCTTGTGCCCACAGCCTCACCAGCATTTGTTATTGGTTGATTTCTTGATGGTAGCCATTCTTTCTGAGTGATACAGAATCTCAGTGTTGTCTTAATTTGCATTTCTCAAACAGCCAGTAATGTTGAACAGATTTTCATGTATTTGTTGGCCATTTGTATTTTTTCATCAGAGAAATGTCATTTCAGAAGCCCATTTTTAATGGAGCTCTTAAATTAATTGGGAGAGGGCTAATTTTTTTTGCTTTATGTATTCTAGATATTGGTCCTTTGTCTGACGAATAGCTGGAAAATATTTTTTTCTCATTCTGTAGGTTGTCTCTTTGCTCTGTTAATGATTTCTTTTGCTGTGTGGAAGCTTTTTAATTTGATGTGATCCTGTTTGCTGATTGTTAGTGCTTTTTGTGCAACTGATGTTTTGTTCAGAAAGTCTTTGCATACACTTATGCGTTCAAGAGTTTTACCTGTTTTGTCTTCTAGCAGATCAAGTGTTTTTGTCCTTATGTTTAAATCTTTGATCTACTTTGGTTTTAATTTAGTACATGGCAAAAATATGAGTCCTAGCCTCAACCTTCGACATGTAAGTAGCCAGTTTTCCAAGCATCATTTGTTAAAGAGGCTATTTTTTCTTCAGCAAAGCAAGTTACCGTTTTTGTCAAAAATAACATAGCTGAGTACACCTGAAATTATTTTAAGGTATTCTGTTCAGTTACATTGATCCATGAGTCTAGTCTAGTCTAGTCTAGTCTAGTCTTGTCTTGTCTTGTTTTTGTCCTGTCCTGTCCTTTTTTGGTCTGAGATTGTGTTGTCCGCTGCCTTGTCATGGTTGCCCAGAATTGCTTTTGTTATGCTAAGTCTTTGTTGGTTCCATATGAATTTTAGGATTATTTTCTCTGGTTCTGTAAGGAATATTATCATTATTTTGTTTTGGAGGCATTGAATCTATGTAGTACTTTTGTAGTATTTGGACTATATTGGTTTTTCCTTTCCAGGAGGAGGGACTCTCTCTCCATTTTCTGATGTGTTACTCAATCTCCTTTTTCAAAATACGTTATAGAGGTCTTTCACTTCCTTGATTAGGTTAACTCATAGGTATTTCATTTTTTGATGCTATTGCCAGTTTCCCTCTCAGTGAGTTTGTTGTTTGTGTAGAGAAACATTAATAACTTTTCAGTGTTGACTTTGTATACTATTACACTGCTGAATTTGGATATTAGTTCTGGGAGACTTTAGATGGAGTTTTTAGGGGTCATGTCATCAACAAATAATGATAATTTAATTTCCTCTTTCCCTGTCCATATCCCTTTTGTTTTTTTCTCTTATTAGTCTAGCTAGTGTCTCAAGAGCTATATTAAATAGAAGTGATGATAATGGATACCCTTATCTTGTTCCTGATTTTAGAGGAAAAGCTTCCATCTTCTCTCCATTTAATATAATGTTGTCAGTTGGCTTGTCATAAATGACATTTATCAGGTTGAGATATTCCTGTTTTTTTCAGTTTTTTAAATCATGAATGGATGTTGTAGACTGTCAAATGCTTTTTCTACATCTATTGAGACAACCAGGTGATTTTTGTCCTTGGTTCTTTTTATGTGGCATATTATATATATTGATTTATTGAACCATCCCTGCATCCTTGGAAAGAATCTTACTTTGTCATGATGCAAAATCTTTTTGATGATTTGCTCCATTCTGTTTACCAATATCTTATTGAGAATTTTTGCATTAATGTTTATTAAAGAGATTGGCTTGTTCTGTTTTGAAACAAGCTCCTTTTCTGGTTTTAGAATTATGGTAATGCTTGCTTCTAAGAATGATAGTTGGGGTGGTGGTGGAAATGCTTCCTTTTCAATTTCATCATAAAGTTTAAGGACCGGTGAGATAGCTCAGTGGACTAAGTGCCTGCTTAGGCAAGCACAGGGATGAGGGTTCAATCCCTGGCATTACATGCAGTATTGGCCCCACCCTTGATAGCACTAAGCTGGCCACCTAGACTGGCCATGGTGGTGCACATCTGTAATCCCAGCACTGGATAAGCTGAAAACAGGAGGATCACACTGTGTAGTGAGACCCTGTACCAAATACAACAACAACAAAAAGTTTATGGAGTACTGGCAATAGCTTCCCTAAAGTTAGAATTCAGCAGTAAATCTGTCAGGACTTGAGCTTTACTTAGTTGATATTTTTTTAAAACTACTACAATGTCACTGATTTATTAGCTTATTTAGGCAAGTTCTCTGTAGGTTCCAGTTTTCCTGTCAGATCCTTCATGTGTCTCAGGCCCACCTCTTTCCTTCTTTTAAATTGTTTTCCATTATCTGGAATTCAAATTTTGTTTATTTTATTTTATTTTTTTTTGGCGGAACCAGGTATTGAACTCAGGCCCTTGTGCTTGTCAGGCAAGCACTTATTCTACTGAGCTATCTCCCCAGCCCTCTGGAATTCAAATTTTGGAGAGGTGAATTTGTTGCTGCTTACTGCTGTGCCATCTTCCTAAAATTCTCTTTCTTGTGATTGTTGATGTTACTACTTGTACTGTTGTCATAACTTTAAGTATGGTATTGAAAAAAATGAATATTGATTTCTGGCATTTTCACAGTTTTACAAGATTTTGTGGAATTAATGGATTTAATTGTATTTATGCATTGCTATATTTTGTTTTTACAGATAATTTTAGTCCTGCTGTGGAGAATGCCAGAGCTCAAGTGCTAGATAGTAATATAGCCAAAAGATGGGTTGTATAATTAGGGCAGTAAGTCATTTGGTGCTTAAAATACTTCATTATACATTAGCTATAAATAAAAAAGTTAATCTTAATTATAAGTATTGTGCATATGGTGAAGTAGAAAGGATTAATGATAATTTTCAGCATTTAAAGCGCTCATAAGTTTTGAACTTTGTTTTACAAAAATGATTGTGAGAATAAGTAGAACATGGTTGGATTTAAATAAGGAAAAATGAGGTATGATAATAAGGTTGATATTTAAAATTTTTACAAATTTTTTTTACAGTAAAAGAAACATTGCCATTAATGCTACTCACAATATTGCCTCTTGCTTTGAACATACTTAACTATCATTCTTGTCAGTTTCTGAAGTGGTTCTGCAAGTCCTTGTCTTTGGCTGTACTGTCAGAATTGCTTCAGTGTCCTGAATCAATTCAAAGCATTACTCTTCATGGTCTTTCTGAGTTGGGGGAAAGAACCAGAAGTTGCACAGTGCTACATTTGGTGAATAAGGTGGAAGAGAATATAGCATGTCTTTATGAGCCTGCTTTTCCATTGGGTGATACTCGCCAGGAGTATTATTGTACTTTGGCTCACTTGCCATGAAGACATGAAAGTGAGCTTCTAGAATCACTTCAGGAAGTGTCAAGAATGATGGGATGCATTTACTGGACGTGAGGAGGAATATTCTGAGGTGGGATTAGTGGCAAAGTGTCTCTACTGTAATAAGGTTGAAAAAATATATGTATGTATTCACTATAGTTTTTGAGCTCTGGGGTGTGTGTATGTGTGTGTGATTTTATTTGTATATATGTACCAATCTCTTATTTACTATAAATATTTGGATTTTACTACTTTCCCTTCTGACGGCTTGTTTTCTTAATGACTGACTGTCTGATCTCAAATCCTGCGGCCATACTCTTTACATTGGCCAGATTGTCTTTTTAAAAATATTTATTGTCTTTTAAATGTTTCCTAATAGTACAGGTTATAAAGACTTTTTTCTCATGTGAGAGTTTTGTTGATAAGAATTTCCACTATTTGTCTGTCATGAATGGAAAGTATCATGTAAGCTCGTGGTATCTGTTGGAGTCAAAGCTTGTCATAGCTCTGGCATTTACTCTTCCATGACTTTGGACAAGTCTCTTCATCTCTGTGTTGTTTCATTAACTTTTTAAAATTTATTTTATCTTTTTAAAATTTTATTTTATTTATTTTACTTATAAAAAGTATACAAAATAGTATTAAAACAGAAAAATTATAAGTGATACAGAATTTCACTTAACACAAAGTAATATGAATTTCACTGTATGTGTTGTAATGCATAGTTTGTCTTCTAACCAGTTATTCATATTACCAGATACCTATATATGTGTGTATATATATATATATATATATGTGCAAAATTAGAAGAAAGAAAAAAAGAAATATATAAGAAATTAAGAAGAGAAACAGGAGAAACAGTTGAAAAAAGGAAACAAAACAAATTCAGCATTATCTCTTCCTTTATATTACGAGTGAATTTTTTTTTTTTTTTTGCAGAACTGGAGATTGAACTCAGGCCCTTGCGCTTGCCAGGGAAGCACTTATTCCACTGAGCCACACACCCACATACCTCCCCGGCATCTCTTCCTTTATAGACCAACAGAAATCCACAGTATAGTTGTCCAAACCATCCTATTTACATACATAGATATATCTCTTTCCCGACTCCCCCTCATGTCCTTCTCCTCAACTCAATAACTCTTTCCTAAGGAAACTTCTTCATTATCTTTTCTGTTTGTTTGTTGGGTTTGTTTGGGTTTTTTTTGGTAACGGGAATCAAACTCACAACCTCATTGCTTACCAGGTAAGCACTGTGCTGCTGACCTCTACCCCCTGTTTCATTATCTTTTAATTGAGAACAATCATTTCAATATAGAGTTGTTAAATGAATGCTATTTTATATCTGGCCTACTGATTTCAGAAACATTGCTAAGGATTTTGTTTATTTGGTTTTTGTTTGCTTTGCGGTGCTGGGGATCAAACACAGGGCCTTGTACATGCCAGGCAAGAGCTCTAACACTGAGCCACACACCCAGCCCTGTTTTATTTTTTAAGGAGGTGTCTGTATTTGAAATTTAACTTTTTTCCCCTTTAGATAACAGACAAGAGAATATCCAGAAGACATGCCATTCTTGAGGTGATGGGTGATCAGCTTCGAATTAAACCGGTAAATATGTTGCTAAAGATTTAACTTTGCCTCTTACTCTTTTAAAAGTACCTGATTAGAGGTGCCTATTTTCTAAGGTTGTGGAAATAGGGAATTAATGTGAGATTATATTATTCTCATTACCAGAAGATAATTTGGAGATAAAAAGATCTCAACTGTTAAACTATGTACTTTCTCAGAAGGCAGAGCTACATTTTTATAGTTTGAATTTTTATGAAACATGATTGCCTGCTTGTATATTTATTATTAGTTTGTTTATAACTGGATACTTCAAGTACAGTTCTATAAGAAAGCTCCTAACTATGTAGGCTTTCTTTTTTTTTTAGGGTCAGAATGGGATAGTGACTGAAGCCATGTCTGTATTAAAAGATCTGTATGTTAACAGATTTCTGTACCGCCATATGTGGAATTAAATATTCCTAAAATTTAGAACTTGTTTAACTTCATGGTTTTATAAAATTTTTTTGAAAGTTTCTGTTGAGAGCTAACATTTTAATTACTTTCTTTGTAGTTTAAATCCTGGTGATTTATTTGTTGGAACAATTTCTGAGAATATAATACATGATTATTCCCTTCCATTTGTAGAATCTCTTGTGTAGGAGAATGAACTGGGGGGTTCCCTGCTTATTTTGGACTACATATGTAGTCATGCAAATATTGTTAGGAAACTAAATTCATTAATTTATGACATTTTAAAACCAATTTTAATTTTCATATTTTATATATAATTTCCTTTTGTATCATTAGTTGTTTCTTTTTACAGAGGTATTGATAATTTCTTTTTATTATACTATATTGAACTGTTCCAAAATTTGAAAAGTATCCTCTTAATTCTAGTACTGGGAAAATTGTGAATAGGGCTGAATTTACTGTCTCAACCCTGAAAAAGAGAATTGTATTCATTTTCTTTCGACATTGTCTTAGTCTTAGAAAGGTGTTAATAGTTATAGTCAGTGTTCCTTTGGAGCTCTTTCATTTACCGTCAGTTATTCATCTCTTGATCCTTTCAGACCATCTCAGAATCATAACGTCCTTGAACATAGGCACTAATCTTTGCATCCCTAATATTTAGCATAATGCCTGTCATGCAGTAGAAAGCTTAATTGATGTTAGGTAAATGCTGCGGTGAGAACTGTATGTGGCATTTGTGGCAGTGGGGGGTCATAGATTTTTTATGGAATTTTGTTATTTTGTAGTACTCAATTTCTAAAAACCTGCTAAATGAATTACTGTATCATAAAATAAAGAAGTTTGTGCTTTCCCTGAGGCACATTGAGAGAAAGAATACAGGGATTGCTAAATTCCCATTGTACCTTTCCTGAAAGAACATATTAGTTTAGATTTACCTTACTTAATGTAGCAATTGTGAGGTCCAGGCCCAGGAGACAGAAGAACCCTAAATAAACTCAGGGTCCCTGGTCCTCAGGGAAGAAGAAAAATAGCAACTGTGGCAGATAATATGCCTGGCCTCTCATGTGAAAGAACATGACTTGGTACTGACTTTCTGCATGATTTCGATTCACCCCTCCACAATCTGTGTTAATCAAAGGAAGAATTTATAGTGAGTACCTTATTTTTTGCTAAGTAGATCTTTTAAAAATGTCCTTGATAATTTGTTTTCTACTTTATTTTTATGCCAAAGCAGAGTATCAGCTGTCATAGATTTATACACTTTTCTGGATTTGTATTTTTTATATTTAAATTCTACTGATAATTATATATGCAAATATCATAGAAAATAATCCAGTAAACTTTTATTCTGCTTATAAGTAATATCCCATCATGGGCCTTCCCAAAAACCCCAAAATAAAGACTTTACACATTTATTTGGAGGGCATTTATCGACTGAATGATGAAGAGCTGAATAAATGTGATGATCTATTCTGTAGCCTGTATACTTCAAATGTTTAAATGTTTTTCTGCCTTCCTTCAGCTTAGAAATCAAAACAGCAGCAGATAAGCAAAGTTTAGACAGCAGTGTTGAATGCAGTTAAGACAGTTACTAATCTGTGCTTTTTTTGTGGTTTTTCTTTTTCTTTTTTTTCCAGCAGAACCGGGATTGAACTCAGGAATCTGTGTTTTTAAATTGAATGAATTTCTGCTCTTCCCTCACCCCAGTGTTTCTTCTTTAAAATATGCCTTAGCTTTCTAGCAGTTCTTGGAAATAGTGGAGGAAGAGATGATGTTAGTTTATGAGGGGATGATATTTCTTTTTTCATATGTTATTTAAACTTAATCTTCAGTCTAATACCAGCAGGGAAAAATGCAATGTAAAGAAAAAATGATATTTCATATAAATGACTGTATTACCAGTGGGTAGTTACATTCTCAGGGTGAATTTGTAGCCATCAGTGCTTTTATGTCATTTTATTAAAATCTTCCTTATTTTGGGTTTTGAATGATTTAGGAAATAGTTCTATTAAAGCATAAAAATACCATTTTTTTTGCCTTCAGCATTGATCTTCAAAATGTACATCTTTGTATTGTTTTTTTTCTATTTCACAAAATTCTTGAATTGTGGTTGATTTTCTTCCTATGTAGTTTTGAATTAAGCTTGTATAATATCTTTAAAAACCTATGATATCCTTTCCTCCACTCATTTGAGAAAAACCTCTGAAAATAAAAGAGCCTCTTTGGGAACACATCAGTCTGTCCTTAATATTTAATGGAATGCCAAGAGAAAGCTATAGAAAATTGATTTGTATTTTAGTTCCAATTCTTCTGGGTTAATGCATCCTTTACATTACTTCTCAAGTTATAGTATAATCTATTTAAGTTCGCATTTATACTTCCTTGGTTCTGTCAAAAGCCACACATCAACAATATGTCTCTCACATAGGCAGTATACATCTTTCATTCTCCGAAGGCTTGGGTTGGGCAATATTTTGTCTGCCCTTGTCTTCCTTCGAATCAGAATTAAACTCATTAAAGAAACTGGGCATTGTACCATCTCTTTTGGTCTCTGGAAGACTTTGAATATTGAGAAAAATTTTTATCTACTTGGTTCTGTTTGGGGAAGGCTTGAGAAGATTTTTACCCTGGCAAGTGCAAGGGCCTGAGTTCAATCCCCAGTTCCACAAAAAAAAAAAAAAAGAAAAGAAAAAGAAAAAGAGAGAAGATTTTTAGTTATATAATACATTTGCAATGTAGGTCTGGGGCCGGCCAGATAGTTCAGCAGACTAAAGCACTTCCTTAGGCAGAGTGCAGCAGCCGAGGTTTGATCCCCAGCATGCACTGCCAGCCCTGCCCCTGGGCTGCGCTGAGATAGTGATGGAGACTGGGTGAGGTGTCAGGTACCTGTAATCCCAGCACTTGGGAGGTTGAAAACAGGAGAATCACTGTGAGTCCAATCTATGTAGTGAGACCCTGTAGACTCTGTACCAAAAAATAGAAAAATTTAAAAAAATATATGGTTAAATATCATTTTCCTTTTAAATTAAATAATGCAAGCTGCACACACGTATGCATATAATGTGTTATATATATATGTTTAATGAATTGATATATATTCTTTAAGGTGTTTTTAACTTTGGCCTTATTTATGAATGTATTGGTATAAAATATTTATAGTGTTGTGCTGACTTCGGCAGCACATATACTAAAATCCAAACAATACACAGATGATTAACTTGCCCCCTGCGAAAGGAAGACACACAAATTCATGAAACATTCAGTATTTTTCTGCTGATTTCTGCTGGTCTATTGAAAAGAGCAATTAATGCTTAATTTTATGTATTTGGTACAGGGTCTACTATGCACCTCGAACTCATAGTAATTCTCCTGTTTTCAGCCTCCCCAGTGCTGGGTTTCCAGGCTGTGCCACCATGTTGGGTCCCAGCATTCCTGGGGTGGGGGTCGGGCTGGGCTGCGTGGCCTGTGATGCAGGGATCAGATCCCAGTCCCTGTGCTTGCAAGCAAGTGCTTAGTCTGCTGAGCTATCTCGCCAGCCCACTTAAATTTTTTTTTTTCTGTTCTCCTTTTAAATTTTTTAGAACTGTTTTTGAACAATTTTGCATGCTTATATCTGGTAATCTAAACAACTAATTTGAAGACATTATGCAACATAGTGATCATTGAATTCCTATTATTTTGGTTAGTGAAATTCTGTATCGTTTCTGATTTTTTTTAAACTACATTTCTTCTTCTTCTTTTTTTTTTTTGGCAGAACCAGGGATTGAACTCAGGTCCTTGCGCTTGCCAGGAAAATACTTATTCCACTGAGCCATCTCCCTGGCCCCAACTATTTTTATTCTTTAAAAAATCTTGTAGATAGTTTTTATAATGTCATTTTGAAGTGTGTTATATATAGTTTTCTCATTTCTATTTTATGTTTTCTCTTTTTACTTATTCATATTCCTAATTTTCTCCTTCTTAAAGCTTTTATGGACTTAATATATAGGTGGGACTTTTATTGGAATATTTATAGTTTGACATAGATTTCTGAAAAACTTTTATGAGTAATACATACTTAGGATAGGGTAAAGAATCAAATACTGAACTGTCTTGGAATTTCAGTTTTGCTTTTACTTCTGGGATCTCCTATACAAACAGTTAGGGAAAAGGAAAGGATCATTAAGGAACATTGGTTTACTTTTTTTCTGTGTGACTAGATTTACTAATAGCCTTATGTTTAGCCACATATACTTTAAACATGAAGTGCTTTCAACTGAGGAAAAAAATAGTCAAACTAAATGTTCTTTTTGTCTTTAGGTTTATGATGACTTTGTAAACAAGTGTAGTTTCCTTCCTTAAGTATTTTATGTTTTCTACTTTATAATTTTATGACTTTGT